CCCCGGGGGGGGGGGGGGGGGGGGGGGAGAGGGGTGATGCCGGCGATGCCACCCCCCAAACCCCTTCCAGGGAGGACCAAGAGCAAAGCTTTTGGCCCCAGCCAGGCACCCCCCGCTGCCGGAGCACCCCCCGGGGGATCCCGGTCCCGGGTGGGGGTGCTTCCATCCAGCCCGGGCTCCCCGGAGGGTACCGGGGGGGGGAGAGGGGCGATGCCTGCGATACCTCTCCCCGAGAGGGACCAAGAGCAAAGCCTCTGGCCCCAGCCAGGCACCCCCCGCCACCGGAGCACCCCCCGGGGGGACGCCTTTCCCCCGTGGGAGCTGTTTCTGGCGGCGCCGCCGGGAGCCGAGCTCTGCCGGGGTGGGGGGGGGGCAGCAGCCAAGCCCCTTTGCATCCCCCCTGCACCACCCCATCGAGCAAGACCCCCTATCCCCCCATAACGCACACACTTGGGGGGAGTAAGGGACATGCCCTATTCCCGGGATCTGGAGTCCTCTCCACACTGGCAGAGGGGGGTGCTGTGACACATCAGACCCCATGCTGAGGTGACCCCAGCACTGAGGGTCTCCTTCCCCACCCCAGGGTTCAGCAAGGGAGCACGGGGGGGGCTGCTGCTCCCCGCAACGCCCCGGCTGCAGGGCTGAGTCCCTGTCACCCAGCCAGGGCAAGGCAGCCCCAGGGGCCTGGCCCAGACCCAGGCTCATAAACTGCTGCTATTTTAAGAGCTGGGAGACAATTTTTCTTAATTTATCAAGCCCCAGGCCAGGAGCTGGTTCCAAAGGAAATGTTTCCTTAGTAAAAAAAGGGAACCACAGAGGAAGCTTTAAATGCCGGCGCTGCCCCTTGCCTTATCCAGCGGCTCCCAGGCAGTGACCTGGAAAAGCAGAGCCCAGTTCTCAGCCACCAGCACCAAGGGCTGTGCAAACACGCGTGGGGGGAGCTGGTGGTGTGGGGAAAACAGGCGCGAGCATCAGGAGGAGCAGGGGGACCGGGGGGAGTTGGGGGGACATGGACCTGTGACCCCCAGCCAGCGCCAAGGGCAGAGGGGCAGCAGCTCACATGGCTCTCCCCGGGAATTTTTGCTACCAAACCTGCCTCCCCATCAGAGCTAATTGGCTTTTAGGTAAGTCGCCTTTGCAGGAGCTCTGCAAGAAAGACTTTGAAGTGGGATTGCGAGTGGCAGAACCTTTATTTAAACACAGGGTGCTACGCAAGGACAGGCTCCCGGCCCCGCTCCCTGCCCCCCCCCCCCAGCACAGGAGATGCCAAGAGGTTAAAAAATCTCACGCTGGATAACTTTCACTTCCCATTAAGTGCGCCCAGTTTATTTACATCTCGCTGATTACAAGAGACAAACAACATCCAGCAGAGGTGACACCTGACAAGAGCTGGCTGCACCCAGCGACAGCAGGACACCGACCACCGGTGCCACGGAGCCTTCCCAAAATGGGGGGGCCAGGGCCCAGTTACCCCCATCACCCCACGGCCAGGGTGGGACCATCCCTCACGTTTCGGGAGGATGCATCGCTCTGCACGGGTCCAAGAAACGCATCCCCCAGGTCAGAAGGATGCAAAATAAGAAACCCATGCAGAGATCAACTGCTGCTACAGAAAAAGGAGGGGGTTGTCTTCCTCCCCACCCCCCCTCCTCATCACCAAGCTGCTTTCATCGTGGGTTTCCAGCCCTGGGCTAAGCAGATCCACGCAGCTCCCTTAAGCTGTTAAGCTGGGCTGGCCAGGGCTGCTCTGCCTGGCACCCTCTTGGCAGCTTCACAGCACCCAGAGGTCCAGACAGACAGACATCCAGCCCTGCAGACAGACATCCAGCCCTGCAGACAGACATCCAGCCTCCCCCCACCCAGGAAGGATCTAGACATTTCCCGGCTCCGCTCTCCAATTAATAATAAACAATTGGCTCCAGAAAGAGAGCAGCAATCCCAGACATGAAGAGGGGTGGGGGCAGAGGCTCATTCCTTCCCCAGGGGCTCTCGGTGCATCACAGCCACTGAGCACCATCCCATCCTCCCACACCCGACACTGGGACAAGGTACGAGGCTGGGATGAAGGTGTGAGGGGCCGGAGAGGGCAAGCACAAAGTGGGGATGTCAGTGTGGGGCTGGCCCACCACCCCACCACCCACAACCAGGCTTCTGCCAGGCTGAGCATGGCCCAGCAGCCGGCAACGCTTCACCCCAACCTCGTGGCCCATCCCAGTGCCAGCTCTGGTGTCACCAGTGCAAGTGTCACAGGGCAGGGGGAGAGGAGGTGGCAGCAGCAGCAGCAGAAGATGCTTCTCCAGGTACTTCTCCTCATGTTGCCACCCCCGCGAGGGTGACAGCCACTGCTCCCTGCTGGGACCAGGGCAGCCAAGCCCCCGGGCAAGGGGCAGGACACACTGGGAACCCCAGGAGCCCAGAGGCTTTTCACAGCTCTCAGAAAGTGGCAGCAGAAAAAACAGCCCCCAACCCCTGTCCCCGCTCTCTGTCCAGGCCCTTCCATCTCCCCCGGGGCTGGAGCAGCAGATGGAGGGGGATGCTCTGGGCAGGGGCACAGATGGAGGGTCCAGGTTCTTTACTCACAGTCGGCTCAGAAAGAAGTGCTGTGGGGAGAGGTGGCCCCGAGGCAGTGCCAGTGTCCTGCTCCTCTCCATCCAGGCAAAGCCAGCCCCGCTGCCCCGGAGGACATGGGGCATCACGTGTAGTTGCCCGGGCCACCCAGAGGGATGACGAAGACAGAGATGTCATCGCCGGAGCCCAGCTTGTCGTTGGCCAGCCGCCAGCCCCGCTCCTTCAACACCCCCCTGGACCGCACCACCAGCTCCTGGGCCACCATGGTGTACCTGGGGGGCACAGTACAGCGCGGACTCAGCAGCCACCCCAGGCCCCACACACTCCCTGACACAACATCCTGCAGGGCCTGGCAAGGAAGGAGAAGCTGGAGGAGCCAGAGGTGCAGGAAAGGGTTCCTGGAGAGACCTGAGCTCAGACACACACGTCCAGGGGAGCATTGCATGTGTGGAGCAGCAGCCCCGAGGTGAGGGGGACACATGGCCACGACACTGCCCCCAGGAACAAGGCTAAGGGGAGGTGTTAGAGGGCAGGACACGCTCATCCCCCTGCCCACTCACTGCTCACCTGCATGGGTCGTTGGGCTCGTAGCCCGTCAGCACCTCCATCACCACACCAGCCACCTCCTTGTCGTTGGTGACATCCCAGAGCCCATCTGTGCCCAAGACCAGAACATCGTCAGGGCAGTGCTCGTACTGTGTGAGGTCATAGACCCTGACCTGGCAAACAACAGGGTGAGATGCAAGGTTGAGGGGCAGAAGGAAGACGAAGCTCCTGCTGCACCAGGAGCACCATGGATCTGGTCACCCCGACCAGCTCTGGCCATTGGAAGGACGCTGGGCACGGAGCAGACAGGCTCACCTCGGGGAAGCAGGAGAGGAAAGGCTTGATGTGGATGTTGGAGCTGAACACCTTGAGGTCATGGTCTCCCAGGCCCCGTGTCACCCCAATGGTGGCCATCACCCGAGCCTGGAGAACAGCGAAATCAAAAGAGAACTTTAAGCCACTTCACCTCCATCTCCATTCCCAGCTGAGAACTGGTGGTGTTGGAGCAGTGACAGCACCAGCAAAAACGGGCTGGAAAGCCCCGATTCAGTGAAGGCAGGCGGGAAGCAACCCCCACACAGCTCCTGCCACAGCACTTCACCTTTTTGCCTTCCCCGTAGATAAGTGGAAACTTCAGGTCATCCTCTTCTATCTTTTTGTAAGCCCTGGTTAAAATAACCCAGAGAGAAGGCATCAGCAGGTGAAGGCTTCCAGCACCTCCCGTGCCCCCCAGTACACAGCACCCCCTGGGATGAGGCCCCATCAAGCCCCGGATACCCCAAGTGCCACTGCCCCCCATGGGAAGGGATGCTGGAGCCGGGCAACCACACGCAGTGGGACCCCAGCACCACAGGGAGCCTGCCAGGGCGGGCTGGGCAGTTACCAGCCGTTCATGTTTTGGTCTCTGTACAGCATCTTCTTCCCCAGCTCCTTGGGTTGGATCCTGCGGGGGAACTCCAGGTGGGTGAACTCCTTCCCCAGCAGCTCGGGCCTCAGGAACGCCTGTGGGATGAAGCAGGGGCTCAGCTGGGGGCTGGGAGAGCAGGATCTGCGTGGCATCACCAGCTGGCACCATCTCCAGCACCTCAACGGGCACCAGCACCGGGCAGGGGACCCACCAGCCTGCTGGGACCTCGGCTGCGGCCTTTCGTGGTGGGGGCACCACCAGCTGCTGTGCTGCAAGGGCAACGGGTGGTGGTAAAACAGCTCCCAACCACCCGTCTGTGGCCATGCCAACACCCAGCCAGAAAACCAGCTGCTCTGCTGCAAGGGGAACGGGTGGTGGTAAAACAGCTCCCAACCACCCGTCTGTGCTGCCCCTCCAGGGGAGACGAGCTGGGGACAGCCATGCCAACACCCAGCCAGAAGGGGAAGCTTTTGCATGGTGAGTTTTGGGAAAGAAGGATCTCCAGAAAGAGATCAAACCCCAGCAAATTCCAGGAGAAGCTGGAATTTGCCCAGAGGGAAGTCAGAGCCACAAACCTCCCGGGACCCCGAGCTCTTGCCAGAGGAAAAGGGTCTTTTCAGAAACCGTGTCCCAGCTGTGGCTGTGACAAGGGACAAGCAGCAGCACAGAGCCCCTTCCTGGGGTGGTACCCACAGCCCACAGCATCCCAGAGCACAGCGTGCGGGGGAACTGGGAACAGGGACAACGCTGGAAAATGCAGATGGAGGAAGAAAGAGGTGAAGGAAAGGAGAAGAGCCCTCGGGAACACGGGAGGGCTCGGTGCAGAGGCACGGAGAGCCCCGTCCCATGCCAGGGGGGAGGCCTGGGCACCGTGTAGCAGGTCAAGGAAGCGCCTGGCCCCCTGCCCATGGCAGCCAGCTGGGGAGGATCCCGCTCGCAGCAGCTCCCTCCTCTCGGTCATTCAAAAATAGACTCAAGAAAAAAAATGCCTCAGTGTTTTTCCGAGTAGGTTGCAAGCCAGGAAATGGCATCCAGCAAGACCTCCTCCAACACCAACGCCTCCTCCCCTCTGCTGCCGTCAGAGAGGCCTTTATAACCTTAAAAAGGCTCCCTGTGTGGCACGGGGTGTGGGGGGGTTCGGTCAGGCCAGGCAGGAGAGGGAGTTTTCAGGGAGAAAACTAGAAACCAGCTGGCACACGTCAGCTCCCTCCCTCCCTCCCCCTGGGAGCAGCCAGGGAAGAAACTAGGCCTCGGTGCAAGCACTGCGGCTCCTTCAGCCGTGCCAGGGAGCACCATGGGTGGTGGGAACAAAGCCCCCCTCCCTCCGGTCACTGCCCCCCTCCCTGGTCACTGCAGCAGCCAGCCCAGTGCTCCCACCATCCCTGGTGATGTCCACTCCAGGCAGGTGATGGTCCCCGTTCCCGGGGAGGGGGGGACAGGACAGGATGGATCAAAGTGGCTCCGTGCAACCGTACCAAAGCAACCCCATGCCCCGAGCCCAGGACCCCCCCAGCTCGCAGGCACGGCCCCTCACGCTGACCCCACAGCAAACCAGGGCTCCACCAGCCATGAGATGCCCCCACACCAGTGAGCTGGGCATCTCCCTGCATCCCAGCATGGCCCCCCAGCCCAGAGAGCTGGCTGGGATGGACCAGTGCCATCAGCAGGTCCCAGCCGTGGGGCTGCCCCCCGGCTGGCAGCAAAGGGGGGTGCTGGGAGGTGGTTCAGCAGGAATGAGGTTAGAAGAAAGGTCTTTCTTACTAAAAACTGCAGCCTCTGCCTTTCTGTCTCTGGAGTAAACTCCCTGGACATTGGAATGATTTCCCCGTTACGGATGATAATGGCCCTGCAATGAAACATGGAAGGATGAGATTAGAGGAGAGGTGATGGGGGAGCTAAGTCTGGCTTTGGGGCTGACTCCTGGCCTGGGAGGTTCAGCCCCTTCCCCCTCCCACCCCACTGCCTGCCCTTCTCCCAGCCCCTGGGGGGCTGCTTGCTGGCTCTGCTGCCACTAACACCCCACCCCCCAACCCCGGGAAGGCATCCCTCATGCTCAAGACAGGGAAAGAGAAAATGGAAGAGAAGCATGGGTCAGAGGGGGATGAAGCAGAACAAACCAAAGGACAGGATATGGTTGGAAAAGGAGCAGCACGAAGGTGGAAAACCCTCCTTTCCAGGGGAGCTGCACACAGGACTGGCAGAAGTCACCAGCAGCAGGACACCAGTGTAAGTGCCCGGCCCACACCAGCACTGGGGCTGGCTATGGGGGCTGCCCTGATTAATTGGTGTGTTAAAAATAAATAAAAGTCTGATTATGAGATGCTTCTGGAGGTCATGGGAGGATGGAGGGTCTCCAACACTGGTGGCTCAGCTGTCCCACTTGCTGTCCTGCCTAGGGCTGGCTGGGCCGGGCTCTGGCAGCGTCTGATGCCCAAGGAGGGACCCCAGACCCTCGCCCAGGGGCACGGTTACAGCCTCAGGACCCTGCACACACAGCTGTCCCACACGGCCAACACCAAAAGCAGAGGCATGAAGGATCTCCTCTTCCTCTGTCCCAGAGCTGGGAGCACGTCCTCCAGCCTGAGACAATTTGCAAAGCCTGTATTTGCTGGTGTGACACCGCTGGGGACGAGCTATTCCTGCAGTAAATACAGGGCAATTCAACCCAGCTTCAGCCTCAGCGTAAGGTGGACTTGCCTCCCTGCCATTGCTTGGGGGGTACGAACAGACCCCGGCACAATTCAGCAATGCACCCACGGAAATGTAGGTACCAGCCAAAATCCCTGGGCTCCAAGCTCCCACAGGACTTGTCCGTGCGTAGATTTTGCACGTCCTTCTCCTGAAGGAGTTCACTGGTACAAAGTGTGCCCTAAAATGACTCCTTGCACTTTGCTGAAACCGTTGCTGAGGGGTAATTTTCACTCCCCAATTAGCAGCCCAGGCCAGGGCTGGCAGCAGGGACTGGGCTGTGATCCAGAGCCGTCTGGGAAGCAGCTGGGACGTGGCTGGGAAGGAAGGGAGAGAGTCCCAGATTCTGCAGCCCCCTCTGTGCGGTGGGGAAATGCAGAGAGCACGGCAGGGGACACTGTCCCCAGGGCATGTGGGAAGGCAGGGGGGTGGCTCTGCCCTCCCCAAGATTTTAGGGAGCTCCAGCACCGCCTGCTCTGCCGGGATGCTCCTGTCACCGCAGGGGCTGCCCGGTGGGACCGTACCTGCTGTCACCGGCGTTGGCCACGTAGAACTTGCCCATGAGGTAGATGGCAGCCAGGGCACAGCAGCCCCCGGAGAGGCGCTGGGATGCTCGCTCCCGCTCGATCTCCTCGTCCTGGGGAGACAGAGAACGGCTCCAGAGAGGGCAGGTGGGTGGCCCCAGGCTGGCAAGCAGAGATGAAAGCAGCCCAAAATAGCGCCCGGATGCTCCAGCAGCACCTCGGCCACTGGCCAAGCTGAGACCCCTCTCCAGGTGGAGAGCGGTGGCCAGCCCATGTGGCCGAGGGGGGACTGCAGGGCTGGGGTGGTGGCAAGGGTCCTGTGGGGCAGCCCCACAGGGACGTGGCTTCACCAGGGCAGTGGAGTGGGCAGGAAAGAGCAAGACAGGAGGGGAGCGGCTGGGACTGCTGGAATGAAGTGCAAAGGAGCCCCCACACAGGTCCAGGGCCCAAAGCCTCTGTGTCCTGAACCCACAAAATATGGCAGAGCATCGCAGTGCCCTCTCCAAGACCGTCCTGGAGGAGCCCACAGCCTCGCTGCAGAGCTGCTTTTTGCCAAGGGGGCACAAGTCACAGCAGACACGGACAGCAAAGAGATGCTCCCAGGGGATACCCAGATGTACACAGCCTCGCTGCAGAGCTGCTTTTTGCCAGGGGGCACAAGTCACAGCAGACATGGACAGCAAAGAGATGCTCCCAGGAGATACCCAGGTGTCCCCTCAGGCAGGGGCTCCCTCACCATGTGCTTAAAGGCGTTCTCGATGGCACCGATCACCAGGCTCTCGTGAGACACCGCTTTCTCCAGGTGAAACCGTGGCACGGCGTTGTTGGGGACCTCCCCGTCGTCCTCTGCGAGGGGCACCCGGCTGGGCTCTGCAAGGCCAGCCCTCTCCTCGGGCGGGAGGCAGATGGGAGGAGGAGAAGGGTCCTGCAGGATCTCTACCAGGTCCCGGAGCTGCTCGCAGATGTGCAGATGGAGCCTCTTGGATGCCATGACAGCAGCACCGCTGCCCGCGTGGCCATCAAACAAGGCCCAGTAGTGGAAATAAAAACCCTTCCTGCCCTGTGGGGAGAGACAGGAAGGTTTAGGGAGCCTGCGAGGAAGCAGATGGCACGGGGAATTCGGAGCAGCTGGGGTCACCAGTTGGGGACAGTGACATGGCCTCTGTCTGGTGGGACCCAGCCCAGGAGGAGCGATGGGGGCAGCTGGTCAGGGGTGTCCGGGCACGGCCGGTCCCTGGCTCCAGCCCAGCTTGGTGTCAGACACCTCATGCTGCCAGCAGCACGTCTCCAGGAGCTGGCTCCTCCAAAGGGGAGACACGACAAGGCCAGTGTGGCAGCCACCTCCACATGGGCCAGCAGCCTCCCTGGGCCAGCTAGCCCTGGCGTGGGCCAGCAAGGATGAAGGCAGGAGCTGGCAAGGAGCAGGGGCAGCTGGTTTGGGACCCGAGGGAATCCCCAGGGAGGTGGTGGTGCACACACATCACCACGTGCCCCTTGTCTCATCCTGCCACTGGGCATCCTCCCTCCCTGCGTTGGCCACCCCGGCTCTCACCCCCTCCAGCTCCTCGCCACCTTCCCTGGACGGCGGGTGGCCCCTGGGGCTGGGCTTCCTCTCCACAAACACCACCTCGCAGCACGCCTGGTCCTCATTGTGCTGGCTCTTCCCTGCATTTATCACCCTGACGGGAGGAAACAAAGAGTAAAGGCTCTTTCTTTCACACCACGCTCCAACAGAGGCCACCCTGCAGCACCTCATCCCCCCAGGACCCCATCTGTGCCCCCATTTTCCTGGGGATGCTCTCCACAGCACTCCTGCCATGCCTCCAGGTGAGGAGACATCCCAGACCAGGTTTTGGGGTTGATCTGGAGCCAGCAGCAGCACTAGGTCCCACCAGCACCGCTGGGTTTGGGGGAGAGCAGCCGTCCAGGCACCCACCGAGGGAGGGGACCAGGAAAAGCTGGGGGTTTTTTTGCTGCCATGGCACCCAGCACCTCTCAGAGGGAGCAGGTGTCTCAGAGAAGGAGGAGAGAAGGTGATGAAGATGAAAACACCGGAACTTTTGCAAAAAAACCGATTCACTAGCTTTTCACAGCCTGCGCTGGCAAAGCAGATTTCAGGTCGAGATTGCAAAACCTGCCCACGGGAGAAAGCTGCAAACACACACAACAGGATGAGCTCTTTGGGCAGAGGCTTTTCAAGTGGTTTGCAGAGAGAAGTCTTGGGAGACAGAAGTCTTGCTGCTGAGCAGAGAGTGGTTTTTTGCTCTGCGTGGTTTTTCCTCCAGGTACCCCCACCCCAGTGTCTTCTGGCACAAATTAACACCTCAAAAAGCTCTTGGATATCAGGAAGATCAGCTTGAGCGAGGGATTTGGGGGGGGGGACTGACAGCACTGAGCAGCAAATGTTGCTATCAAAGCCTGACCTTCCCCACCTGCCTTCAGTTCGAGGGGAAACTCGCAGGGAGTGAAAGGAGAAGAGAATCAGGGGAAGTGGAACTGGGGTCCCGCTCCCGACCGGCTTCAATCCCCTCCTCCCCCGAGCCCTGCGGCGGTTCCCTCACCCCTCGGTGTCCGTTCCCCACCGGTGACACCGGGGGTTGCGCAGAGAACACGAAAGAGAGAAGCGCTGGGAGCCCTCGGGGACGCGCCTTCCCCGCACCGCTGCCGTTCCCGCAACCGGCAAAGAGCGACCTTCCCTCCCGCTGCTCCGCAGGGACCGGCACCGCACCCCCTCAGCGCCCAAAGACCGAGCGCCACCGGTGTCCCCCCCCCTTCCTTCCCCGGCCCGCAAAGCCCGCACCCGCCTCGGGC